AAAAAAAAGCTAAAAAAAGAAAACCAAAAAAACCCTACACAAAACCTATCTTTATTTTGATTATTAAAAACTCAAAATTTTAGATAAATAAAGAATTAATTTTTGATATTTCAGGATTTTTATCAAATTTGCTAAATCAGTAAAAATTCAAAATTGTGTATTAAAGTCTCTAACTCACATTTATATAAGAATCTCGAAACTATTTTATTACCAAATGAATATTTGCTAAGTAGACTAATAAGTTACTTTATATATTTTAATATTTATTATTTAATGCCATCTAATTGATATGCTGTAAGTGTAATTTATTTTAATAATGTTAAATCAAATAGTATAATTTGATTTAATATTAATTCAATAGCACAAACATTAAAATAAGTTAAGTACCAATATAATTTAACTTGCTTAATATTGATGTCTATTAGTACTTTTTAATAATTTAAATAAGTTTACTTTTACACTGTAATTGGAATGAATAAAATACTTCTAAGTGTGTTGGATGACATTGGTCCAGTTCTTTCTCCTCTGAAGCAAGGAGCTTAGATTTACTGAGCAACACCCATCACAATGTTCCTTGAAGCAATCCCATTCATCTTTAACTTCTCCTTTATGCTCTGCTTCCCCTATCTGTTAGGTAAGGTAAGGTAAAGGCCCTCCCATTGATCATCGGTTTGCTCAAGCGGGCCCAGTAACATCTCCATTGGAGACTCTGTTGTTACTGTGTTTGGCATATCGAATACATCACGGGGAGCTTGCCGGGCTCTGCCTTGCGGGCAAGATACTCTCGGTAGCTTGCCGGGCTCTCCGAGAGGGGCAGCATCATGCTGAGTGAAGTTAACCAGAGGGAGAGACACTGACACAGGATGATCTCTCTCGTATATGGTGTATAAAAAAATGTAAAGGTGGAATAGCAAATGCCCAAAGACAACGGAAACAAAGAACACAAGAACTGGTATTCAGTAGCAAGCATGCCACTTGATAGGATCCAGGGAATAGAAGGGGGGTCAGGAAGGCAATATCTATGGTGGAGGGAAGTGTTCAAGCAGGAGAAGGAGGTGGTGCTAAAGGGCGGTTATGCATGAAACCACACTAACAGTGCTGTAACCCACACTGAAAGAACATATATAAATATATGAGCCTCTCAGAGAAGCAAAGCGATGGGTAGGAGGCAAGTGGGGTGGGGGTAGAGGGGCATTGGTAGAAGGAAGTGGACGCTGGTGAAGGGATTGGTGCAAACAATGATGCTTGAAGTCCAATCATGAATAACTCTGTAATTTCACGGTGATTAAATAAGATAAATTAATAAGTAATTAAAAAAAAGCAACAGAGGAGACATTGGGCCAGAGACAGATCTCCACATGCTGAGGGAAGTTTGCATGCAGGAACCCCGGGGATCCTATTTTTAGAAATGCGTGGTCTTCTGAGCATCTCTGAACATTGGGCTCGGAGTAACCCCCAGCTACAAAAAAATAAAAGAAGCAAAAAAGAAAAAATAATTAAGAAAACCATTTGTCTTTGTGAAAGTCTATCAGTGGTTCAAGTATTGATCTCCCAGTGAAAAATCCATCTCTTGAAAGAAAATCATGCCTGAGATGAGGTATACTAAGAAGAAAACAAATATCAGAGAGAAAAAAAAACAACACCTTTCTCTAAGGAGAGAATAGCCAAGAAGAGCTGATAAGCAAATGCTAGTCCAACATACACACTACATTAAAGAAATAAATCACTTAAGAAAAACACCCAGGGCTTCATCATAGGGACTGTTGGAAATTTTTTGCATCCCATAGCTAACCATACCATTATATTATTTTAAATTGAGATTTTAAAAAGATGTCACTTACCAGGACAAACTGGCCATCTGACCCGCTGGCAGTCTGTAGGAAATTTAAACACTTCCTTGAACATTTGTCTCACCCGTTACAGCATTGAAAGTTGGGGAGGGAAGCTCGCTTATGCCACCTGCTGAATTATGTTGAAACTGCATTAGGCCCAAAGTGTACATTTATTTTCTCCAATTCAGATGTAAAGAGGGTCTTGGCTAAATTGACAGGTTTAGAGGCCAGAGTGATAGTAAAATGGGCAGGACACTTGCCTTGCACACAGTCAACCTGGGTTTGATCACTGGCACCCCATTTATTCTAAGCACTGCCAGGAGTAATCCTTGAATTCAGAGCCAGGAGTAAGCCCTGAGCACTGCCTGTATGGCCAAAAAACAAACAACAACAAAACTGACAGGTTTAAAACCCTGTCTGTATGATTCAGTGTCTCATAATAATTCACTGTTGTCCACATTGACACAGTGAAAGAGGTTGTGTTCGTGTATTTCTGGGAGGATTCTCAAAGGTTTTTACCAGTATGAAGCTATGCTCCTGGGGTTCGAGTTTGTTTATTGTTTGAGTTAGGAGCCACACTCAGTGGTACTTTGGAGCTACTCCTGGCTCAGTGCTCAGGAACCAGGCATCAAACCCAGGGCTCCCAGATGCACAGCAAGGGCTCTGGTCCTTGGAGCCATCTCCCTGCCCCCTAAGAGGCAGGTTTTCACTCAGTGTCCCCAGGGGGTCACGTGCTGTTCTCAGCTCTGCACAGAGATAGCCCACAAGATACAGTGGTTCTCCTGAAGCTTGTATTTTAGTAGAGAGAAAGAAAACAAGCAGGCAAGAGAACTTCCGGAGTGATGTGTACCCTAGGGAGGAGGGGGGGGGCGGGGGGGGGGAGTGAGAGACAGGGAGTGAGCAATGGGAAAGTGGGGTAGCATTTGTGCTGAGACAGGAACAACAAGCTACAAGCTCAGCCTCAGGGTCAGAGAGATCCCCACAGAACGGAAGGGAGGGGCTGAAGAGGAATCCCCTGAGGAGCATCCGGGGAACAGTCAGAGGTGACTGCGGCTGGAGTGGGGACTTTGGAGGGGGAAAGGGTGTGCAAAGAGCAGATAAAGGGGCAGCAGATTTAGGGGTCAATGTCAGAGATCAGATATGAGGGGAAGGAGGGCAGACAGTTGTCACTTGTCTATGACAACTGGCATGCTAAAAAGCTCAGCTCTGGTTCTCAGTGGAAGAGGAGGCCTTTGTAAGCATTAAGTCCGGAAGGGCTTCACGCAATTTATCCTTGACAATCACCATCACTTGGGGGTCTTTGGTAATGGGTGAGAAGGGGTTTCCCACTAAGTTCTGCAGTTTCCCTCTAAGTCCAGTCTGGCTACACCCAACATTTCTGTTTAAATTGTGTCCTTGTCACAGTCATAGCGCAGTGGCTCATACATTTGCCTTGCAAGTGAGTGTTTGATCATGACTTGAGATCCCCACAGACACACAATGCTCTTCTGGCGACTGTGCTGTTTGAACCTAACAGCTCTGCTATTTCCAGCCACGCTGCAGCCACGTGTGTGTAAGCACCTCCCTAAGGGTTGGGTGTAACCCTCAACGAGTGCAGCAATTGAAAAGACACACAGGCACCCTGACCTGGAAGTGCAACCTTTGGCAAGCAGTGCAGGCCCCCCTCCCCATAAACAACACTCCATAACTTGTGTGTACCAACAAGGAGTCCTTGCCCTAAAGAGCAGCAGTGTGGGCACCACCATTAAAGGAGTGAAGACTGAGCTGGGAAGTGAACACAGTGACCCAAGGGACTGGAATGCAGGATTTGTGTGTGGTAGCCCCAGATTCGATCCCTGGCACTGCATGGTCCCCTATCCAAGTGCCTCAACAGGAGTGGCTCCCCAGCATCACTGGGGCCTCAAAAACAACAATCAGAAGTGCAGTCATCAGTGAACCCTGTGGCCGGTTGTGCAAGAACTATAACCAGAAGTGTAATCCCCATCACAGCGAAAAGTGTGTGAGCACCACAGGCAGATGTGGGTGTAGGCCCTGCTCCCTACAACATCATCATCATCACCAACAATGATGAAGGGAAGGGGGAGAGGGCAAATTAAATCAATCAATCTCCTCAGTATTACTGCTGTTGTCAATTTCAAAGCATTAGACAAAACCAAGAGAAACATAAAAATCTTATTCAATCATGGGTTACAAATAAATTTGGCTCTGAGCAAGCAAATAAATCTGAGCCTTTAGCCTCAAGAGCCTATGATAGATGTCGGCACTTTTCTTTATAGACATAAATTACTGCCATGAGTAGCCTCCATCACTGATGGCTTTTGTGTGTAACAGGAGCCAAGACTAAGTAGACTACTACTCTGGTGAGAAGGGGAACAACATCTTTATTTTCTATAACTGGTCTCATTTTTCCTGTACTGCTGGACTGCACAGATGTCAATGCTTACCCAGAGGACAATGAGGAGTCCCAGGACACTCAGGACTGTCTCCCACGTCTCAGAGGCTAACTTTCCTGGTGCTCTGAACCCCTGCTCACACCAAATCCATCCGGCAGAGAGCAATAAGCAAGGTCTTTGAGTGACTGAGTCTTTACTCAAATGAGACTGCCCTGATTACAAAAAAATTTCATACATGTCCATGTCATATTTTAAATATTTGATATGCTGCTAGTTCTTTGAGGAGAGGGCTTGAACCATGCACTACTGAGACCATGTGCTGGGATGAAGCCAATGTAGGTGGGATGCAAAGCAAGCATCTTTGTACTGTCTCTCTGGCCCAAGACTGTTTTCATTTGTTTTTGGAGTGACATCTGGCAATGCTCAGTACTACTCCTGGCTTTGTGCTCAGGAATCACTCCTAGCAGTGTTCAAGGAACTATATGGGGTGCTGGGGATCAAATCCAGGTCAGCTGCATTACTCACTTTACTCTCTCTCTCTCTCTGGCAAAACCTTTTTCATTTGGAATAGAAGGTTAATCCAGAAGCAATTAAGCTATCTCCAAATGTCTGCCTTGGTCTTTAACCAGCTTCTCGGGTTAACCGCAATGCCATGAAAAACTTTCCCAAATGTGTGCAAATATGGAAGTCTCATAGAGATAATAAGGAAAATCACAGTGCTTGCTGGAATCTAAGTCAAAGACAGCTTCCAAATTAAGCTGCATTTCCCTACTTTTTAAAAAGATGCTTCCGCATTGTTTTCAGTCATTAACATTAACTGCACATTGAAAGCAGCTTTAATGTTCGCCCAGAATAGTCCCTGTTTGGCTTTTTCCTTGGGCCATTCCAAATAAGTCCGCTGTGCCATGAGAGTCCTCAGCTTGTAATAGTTGCCAGGAATGGAATGCTGTGGAATAGGCTCCAGCAAGATCAGGATTAAGTTATCAGATCCTTCATGAAACAGGTTGTGATGGGCAAAGTAGAGCTCATAATGGCACCACTCGCTCTGGACAAAGTGGGGAGACAAGACAAAGATGGACTTGTAGCTCTTCTCTATGAAGTTGATGATATTTCCCATAATGCTCTTGCCTGGGACAAAGTTTCTCTCATGAAGACAAACCCGGATGTCTTCTTTTTCTAAGTTGGGCAGTAATTCTGTCTTCACCCAGGCAGAATCATGCCCACTGTAGGAAATGAAGGCATGGAACTGGAGAGCTCTCCGTAGTTCCTGTACGTGTAGATTCCTGGCTCTGCGTCGGGTCTGGGTCCACTGGCACACCATCCTGAGATACCAGGGCACATCAAAATACACACAGAGGATGGCCGTGGCTATGGCCCACACCAGCACAGTACCCACCACAGTGGCCATCAGCAGAGAGGGGTTGCACGATAATTGAGACACACGGAAGTCCTGAAGTGGGGTTCCCTTGGAACTTTCTGGATAGTCACACTTGTAGGAAGCAGGCCAGTCCTCTACCACTGCCCTTGAGGCTTGACCTACACTGTGGATAAACTCTCTCAGCTCACATGTACACTGGAATGGGTTGTTCCCGGCTTTTAGTGACCTGATCATTGGGCAGTTCTGGAAGAAATCAGCGGATGGATTGGAAATGGCATTGTAGTCAATGGTCAATACAGAAAGACCACTAAAGGCGCCACATCCGGGCAAGTTGGTTAAAGAATTGAAGGCAACATTGAGTTCTTCCAAAACTTCCAGACTATTGACAGCTTTTGGAATGCTCCTTATTCTGTTGTTGTGAAGATCAAGAACCTTGACCCTTAGAGGTAAACATCTGAAGACAGAGTCAGTGAGCAGATTTGAAGACAAATTTAACACCACAATGCTCCAGGCCCAAGTGCAATTTCCTTCCCGCCTCTCATATTCTAAAGAATTCCCACTAACGTCCAGTATTTTCAAAGAGGACATATCCTTAGTCATGAGGCCTACTTTTAAAAGGCCTTTTAATCCATTCTTTTGTAAGATAAGAGTTTCCAATTTAACTAATGTGGAACAGTTTTGAAAAACACTGTCTGTGAAAACATTACGAGTGAAGTTCAAAAACATGAATGTGCTCAATGTCTGGGGGCAAAGCATGTGGATAAAAGGTGTATCTGATATGGTGAGCATCTTAATGTTCATCTCAGAAAACACTGTGTATAATGCTTTCTGGGAGAAAATGAAAACTCTATTTGTAATATGCTCTATATTCAGTGCTTTCAAGGTCGTCCTAGGATAAATAAAACGTTCTTCACCAATGCTTTCAACTATCGTTAAATTGTAGATATTCAGGTATTCTATAGGTTTGGACCAAAGGAACTGAAAAACCTGAACCAAACACTTCCAAGTTGTTTCTATCTGGTTGAAGGTTAAATTCAGAAGACTTGGACCTCTAGTAAATTCTGATAAAAATTCCATGAAAACTTGACAGTTGACATCATTCAGTTTAATATTAGTCAGTTGTAAGCACTCTAAAGCATTGACTGATAGGTTTGCTTTAACAGAAAATAAACTATTTGGGTGAAAAACTAAGTGAAGTGCTTTTGTATTCAAAACTTGAAAACTTTCTCTCGCATCTTCTTTTACATAATAGTGTTCTAACTCCAGAAGGATGCACTCAAGATGCAAGTGTGCAATTGGTAGCAGATCTAGTTGTAACTTTGCAACACTTAATCCTAAGAAAATCAGTTGTGTCAAGTTGCCAAATTCCTTACAGATAGGTGAGACATCAAAGTCATTGAATGAGAGGTCTAGGTACTTAAGACTTGTGATGGAATGGCAGGTAATTCTCTTCAACTGATTATTAGACAAATCCAAATATTCCAAATTCCGGTTTAAGTTGAAAATACTGAAATCAAGGTACCGCAGTCTATTATGGGAAAGTCTTAAAATTTTCAGCCTCGGAAGATATCTAAATTCAGAGAGGCTAAGCTCTGCTATATAGTTTTGAGATATATCTAAGACTTCAGTTTTGAGTGGCAAGTCCTTTGGAACATGAGTAAGGCCTACTTTTGACATGTCAATTGCAAATTCATTTTTATCGGAGGATAGGGTTATAACTTCAGATGTGAAAGCCACAAGAAAAACAAAGTTTCTGAGAATGATTCCTTTGTCTTTTGTCATGATTTTGAAGAGGATGTCCCACACTGTGTTTGCTATTCTTCAGAGCATCTTGAGAAGAATTCAAATTCTAGGAACAGAATAGACAGTAGGATGTTTAAAGATCAGATTTTTGCTCTCAGGCCTCCACTTACTAACCATCATCTCCATGATTGCTTTGTTTTCTACCCAAGTCATTTCTGTTTCTTTCCTTGAATGTACCATTTTCTCCCAGTTCATTAAGACCCAGTCATCCAATAATTGGTGGGGGTGAGGGTGTGTGTGGGGGGATATCTTAACCAGTCAGCTCCCAGAGCAATCCACTCAGAACTTCCACTCAGGGCAGGCCTCCCTCTTGATGTTTGGTGAAAGCTCTGAGAGAACTAGTTCCTACCAACTGGGTAAGTGACAGTAGATAGGGTAAGCAGTGGGCCCACCAAAGAGCCAGGGAAGAAGAGGACTACGAGAGGAGGTATGTGAGGAAAAGGCTTTGGAAAACTCCATGCAGACCAGGCAACTGCAGGTCTGCTCATAAAGGATCTGAGAAAATTCTGCACATTTACTTCTAGATGATCTTTAGACTCCATCATGCAGAAAGCAAAGACCAGAGATATATGCAACTCAAACAGGCACTAGAAGAGCAGAAGGCTAATCTGCCCAGATCAGGTTTGCCTTCACATTGCTTTAATTTTTTTTCTCTAGGTGTCTAAGAAACTTTCTAGCTGATCAAACTAATGTAACAGATAATTCAATGGTCACACCCAACAACAAACAGTTCTTCTACAATATTATATATAAATGATGTCACAACTGTTATACATAGGTTTCTTAAAGTAGGCACACAAGAAGGTAAAATTTAAAAAATTATTTTCCCCAGAGCCCGACCAGTGGATACCTTCATCCAGAGTCTTGGTAATGTTCTATTTCTTGGTCTAGGCAGTCAATAGGGAAATGCAAATTTAAAAAAAAAAACAAAATGCCCCTGAATACCTTACAATGGTCAATATCCTAAAACAATATCAAAAATTACTGAGGATGTGAAGACTCATTCCTCATTGATGGGAATTCAAAATGACACAGACATTTCAGAAGACAGTTGAGTTTCTTACATTGTTAGATGTGGTCTCACTATATAGAACAGCCTGAAATTTACCCAAATGAACTGAAAATTTATGACTACAAAAAACCCTGCATGTCAGTGTTTATAGCTATTTCATTTCTAACATCTAAAAAGTGGAAACACCAAGATGTCCTTTAATAGATTTCTTTGCTAACAGTAGAGCCCAGAAACATAGTACAGTGGGCCAGGTGCTTGCCTTGCTTGTAGGCAACTAGGGTTTGATTACCAGTCCCACAAATTCAAATTATTTGTCATTTCATATCTGTTCAAATCTCTTATCCATTTAAAAACTTGTGTTTTCTAGGGCCAGAGAGATAGTACAGAGGTTACATTACTTACTTTTAGGTAGCCGACCCTGGTTTGATCCCTAACCCTGCCTGTAATCCTTCTGAGTGATCCCTGAGCACAGAGTGAGAGTGTACCCTGAACACTGTTGGGTGTGGCTCCAAAATTGAAACAAAGGAGAAATTTCTTATTGCTGAATTTAAGAGTTTGTTTTTGCTACACCCAGTGGTGTTCAGAGGCTACTACTGGATCAGAGATCACTCTGGAGGTGCTTTGGACCAGGGCTCCAGGTCTTTCTGCTTAAGATGGAGCTAAGGGGTCTTTTAGGGTTTATGTGTTGGGCTGTCTAGATAAGCCTGAGAAAAACACTGACTGGTGGACAGTGAATAGTCAAGCCAGCTTTGAGCTAGACTTTCAGATCCTCTGTCCCATTTGGACAAACAAGATGAACAGCAAGGGCTGGGAGGTAGACAGGGGGCCAGAGATGCAGGTGTGGTCCAAAGGTTCATCCACCATAGCTTGATTGTTAAAGCACTGAGACATACAACCATCTGTGTTCTTTTATGAGGGCAGATGAGGACCAAAATGAGGTCGGGCTTGTGTCCTAAGGAAAACTCTCCTTCACTTCCATAAATTGGACCTGGTGAGGAGAGAAAAGCAGCAATAGCTGAACTGGCAGAGATTAAACTCCCACTCATAGAGTCACTGGAGCAGTCAGACTCAATCTAGACCTATTAAAGGAGTGAGAAGTGGTGCAGGGTCAAAGTAGGGTCACACATCCACAGACTCCACATGTGTGTTAGACTCTAAAGGGGAATGGGACTAAAGGTGAGGACTAGAATTGTGCAAAGTGTCAATCAAAAAACCCACCCCACAAACTCAGACACTCTTGAGGCTACACCATCTGCCTCTAGACTGCAGAAAAGGATTCCTGAGCTTCTACATGGGATCAAAGGTTGGCAAGACTGGCGAGGCCTGACCAACTCCCACAGTGAAGAGGTCCCTAATCCCCACAGTGGCATCTCAATCACAACAATAAGATAGCACCTAAACCACACCTTCTCCTTGCATGCAAAAGTTAGAGTGTTCCTACGCAGTGGTCAGAGGCAGTTCGGATAACACAGACTCTGCCATTTCATTGGGGTTGGGTGTTGGATAACATTGGTTTGTCCTTGCTCCTCCCACAGGGAGCTTAGGTTTATTGAGTTACTCCTACAGCAGTGCTCCTGAGGCACACCCAATTCCATCAGGTACTAATAATCCTATATTGCTTTTATATTTCGTTTATGTCATTTGTATGATTTTGTATAGACACAGGAAGACAGTTGATGCTATGCTTTGTAACATGAGAGTTAATTGACTCCAAAATAATATTTACTCCTGGGTATCTGTTATATTTACCTGACTTAAGCCTCAGTTGCCCTTTCTTCCTAATACCCCTAAAAGGAGGGTCTCAGCGAGGGACAAGGATGGACCAAGGGTAAGCTGTAAGCTACCCTGGCATTGGAAAGGGACAAACTAAGTGCCATAAGAAGTATAATAAGTTAAGAGCAAGGTCATGGAACAAACTCTGTCATGACCAAAAAGAAGTAGCTGAATAAGGACCTGCTGGGATTAGGAAAGACTAACCTGGCCTGAGGACTGTAGTCTGGGATATATAGCAAGATGTCCCCAGGAAGAGCCAATCTTTAAGCTTAATATATCTCTTACTGTGTTCATACAAAATGACTAGAAATATTAGAAGTAAATTTACTATGATTGTTTAAGTAGATTACTAGCTGAGGAAGGGTGAAAACAACACACCCTAGATGGAATCCCGCCCTTGAACGGACCTCCTAGTAATCTAGAGTGCTGAATCCCCACATGAGATTTTGTCCTTGACTTAATCTCCTAGAATTTCCCATGAAGGATTGGCTTTACATTTGTTTGTTTGACAATGTTCAACCTCATCTATGTGTACCCTCACCCTTCATGATTTCTATGTAACTATGCTATAAGGGGAGAGATTGAACTACGCTAGGGAGAAAGGAGGAGAAATTACTCTGCTGTAAGGGGATAAAGCAAACTAGATTGGAGAAGAGGGCGGGAGCAATAGCACAGCGGTAGGGCTTTTGCCTTGCACGCAGCCAACATGGCTAACCCAAGTTCGATTCCTCCGCCTCTCTCGGAGAGCCCGGCAAGCTATCGAGAGTATCTCGCCCACACGGCAGAGCCTGGCAAGCTCCCTGTGACGTATTCGATCTGCCAAACACAGTAACAACAAAGTCTCCAATGGAGACGTTACTGGGCCCGCTAGAGCAAATTGATGATCAATGGGAGGGCCTTTACTTTACTTTACTTTTAGATTGGAGAAGAGAGAGAAATAAACTGTCTACCAACGAGCCTGGGGCCCTGTTTCTCTGTTTTCTTATTCTTCCCATCCTTTGTCCTTCTGTTGCCATGGGCCAGCTAGGGGAATGGTTCTCAGACACTGAAAGCATGCATCCCTCATGCACACGCTCCTTGAAACTCACAATTGGGGACCCACCCTGCAGTGCACAGGGGCTATACCTGGCTCTGTGCTCAGGAGTGACCCCTGACTAGGCTCAGGGGACCATATACAGTGTCATGGATCCAACTAAGGTCAGTTGCGTACAAGGTACAGTGGCACAAGGCACCACTGTACCTTGGCGATCTCTCTCTCTCCCGACTCTCTACCTTTGTTGTGCTCAAATTTCAGATTCTCAGTTGCAGAGAGACCAAATCCACACATGATAATGCAAAAGCAAAGGGACTTTATTACTAGCCCGAGCCAGCGCTAGCCCAAGCTAGGGTCCAAGTCTCATCCAACGCAGTGGAGTCTTGACAAGGACCTCGACTTCAAATCACAAGCAGTTTATATAGGGTTCAGAGTTATGAACAGTCTATATACTGGTCTATTTTTAGCATTGGCCCTATTACAATGGTGGTCACAATTAGGCAATGGTTAGTAACAGTTTCTAAGGAAGGTGCAGTGACCCTTTATAACCGGCCGGACTCAATTGCCCTATTCCTTATCTTGGAAAATTTTTATTCAACTTGGAGTTTATCAGCAACGGCGAGTCCTTCTTTGGGGAAACAGAAACTGAGGCCTAGTTGAGACTGAATGTTAGGTGCAACTTGTCATGGCTTTAGTTTTGCCCTCACACTATTATTATTATTATTATTATTATATTATTATTAGTGCCAACAATTTTTTTAGCTGCAGAATTTCTTTCTTTCTTTTTACACAATTTCCATACATACACTTTGTTTTTTTCCCACTCGCTTTAGCCCAGAAGCTGCAAGCATTCATTCAGGTGACATGGACACAAGCCACAGTGCTTGAGAATCTGTCACACCCCAGTTTTGACAGTTGACACACTGACACGGTAGAAGAGGACAGAGAAATGGTAAATCCACGTGGAAGATATCAGAAAGTAAGGCAGATGAAACCGCTGGGAAAAAAAAATCAAACAGTTTTCTTAGGACGCAGAAGGTCTCAACATAAGAGATTCGGCTGATGACAGCAATGATGCAAGGGGAACAGAAATGGGTCACCTGTCTTTGGGGGGAAACCTGGTGCCAGAGATTCCTTACTTGTATGCAGGACAAAGTTCACAATGGTGCAGCTCTTTCACTCAGTTCAGGAGATGATTCACTGGAAAAGCATCAGGGAGCTCCTGTAG